TCACAAATTTGCATAGATCCTTAACTTTAAGTGACATCGAGTTCCAAACCTACAATTAAACAGACCAAAGCTCAAAATTATATGGAGCTGATATCGAATAACTTGACAGACAGGGAGTCGAACTGAATTAGCGGGTTGAAGACTGCTTCTGGCACCAATTTGTTGTAGGCTGCTTCTGACACAATTTTGTTACAGGTCGGTTCTAACAATAATTTTTTTTAGATCGTTTCTGACACCACTTTGTTATGAGTCGACTTTGTTCCGATGGAGTTATCCTCATTATTATATCAATAACACATAATAAAATAAGGTTGTTTTTCTTACTGGCACTACTTTACTTTCTTTCTCGCCTCTTTCGGTTTATCCATTCGCTCTCACATCTCCCAGTCTCCTTCTTTTTTTTTTTAGCTGCGGCATAGCGGCTCACAGAAATGGCTCTTCGTTTGTTTGTTGTTTTTTCTCAAGTACAAACTTTTAGTTCATAGCTCTGTTATCTCTTGGCAGATTTGGGATATGATTACAGTTTTGGACTCAGGAGGTTCAATTGATTTATTTGACCACGCCCAAGGTCTCATAGATTAATTTACTCTGATCCTGCCTAAATTAATTTCAATTTGAGGGTAGGCTGGTAACGATCCTGATGAGTAATAAAATCGAATCGGGTATACGCGCGCCCCAATCTTGGTATTGCTAGCGCACAATAAAAGCGAAAAAAAGGTATCATAACTTAATCTACTCTAACCCTGCTTAAAAGAATTTCAAGTGCCACGGCTATTAAGGATTCCCTCTTGTTTTCGCTTGACTCCTCTCTTTAATATTTCTTTCTCAAACTCTCACCAACAAATCATTTGCTGTCCGACATTGCACACCTGCTTTCCGAAATTAGGATTATAATGCTCATAATCATAGGGAGCTCTGTAAATTTATAGTGTTCAAACAAGAATAGTGGCAGATCCTTCCAATGATTTTCTAATCACTTAGTGCTGTAACTCCCTAATCCTTTAGGAGCTGATCAAAATTCGACTGCTTTCTCAACTCTCTCAATTAATCCTTCTTTCCACATTTACTGTTAAGGATTCAAACCAGAAAGTTAACGAATTCTTACTCTCTCATTTGTATACCTGGAAATTCATACACACCAGTTTTTAACCTTACCTGGATGGATCTTTATCTCCATATTTATATACAATATACATTAGTTTTAATCAGGTCATAGGCTTAATAACTCATACACGAGAGGGTGTCCGTATTTCAGTGCCCACTCACTGGTCTGTAATGTGCTGTAAAATGAAACTCATGTAATAACAGACTCCATAGCAGATGTTTTCTGTTGGGCCCGGCATGGTTCGTATCCCCGTCACACCAAACATGCTCGCCCTTTCAACCATGGGGGTGTTATAATGTGACGGTCAAT